TGAGACAAACATTTCTTAAAGTAGCATTGGGTAATACAGCCACCTAGGCAAACTGCTAGTCACCTGCTAAAAACTAATACTCTAGTCGGGGTGTTCAAACTTTTGGTGTCTCTGGGCCATACCTGGAAGAAGAGGAGTTGTCTTGGGCCACATATTAAATCACAAATGCTAACAAAAACAAAAAGTCTCATAATGTTTTAAATAAATTTACAGTTTTGTGCTGGGCCACATTCAAAGCCACCCTGTGTTGTCCAACATGCAGCCTGTGGGCTGCAGGTTGGACATCCCTGCACTTAGAGTACATTATTCTCATTATAAAGGTTTGACCATAACAAAGTTCTTTTATTATTATTTTTGCTACCACTTCAAAAAATAAAATATTTTTACTATATTTCCTGAAATACTTGGAGGTTTTGAGAACTTGTACACTTGTAAGATGAGTTTGATGTCTATAAAATCTACCAATGGGAAATAAGACTATAAATGATATCTCTGAAAATTATTACAAGTAATCCAAGCAATGAAAATTCAAATATACATTTGCTTTGCCACATAACTACTTCACTGCTGGTGGATACATGAAAGAGGAACCCATACTATTCTGGCTGATGCCCAGTTCCCCAGGAATTAGTGGGATATAGTGCTGGACATGACGTTACCTTGAGTACATGACAGTCAGCCCCTAACCAGGCTCTGATTCACAAGCCTAGGAAGTACTCACTTTAAGTCATTGGGTAAGATATGAACTTGTGGTAATTGGGCCATTTTTGTCGAATGTCTCCGCTGTCCTTTTCTTTCCCAGTCTTGTTTGACTTTATTGGTGGTGTTGTTTAAAAAAATAAAAGCATGGGCAGCCCAAGCTGCTGATCATCTTGGGAGGACTTTAGTGTTTCAGTGTCCAGTGTGTGTCTGACAGGGCCCAGGAGCGGCTACATCAGAAGGTACTTTTTTGTTTTTTTCATTACTGAGTGGTAGGCAGAGTCTGGAACTGGAGTTGGCTGTCATGTCCAAGTCTGTCTGCTTTTTAATATTTTGTTCATTTGCTTTGAAATTGCAAGAGTGAGATGGCCTGCAGTGTAAGATGGGCTGTTTTGATAAATTCCAGTCATGACACCACTTCTTTGCAATGTTAACATAAATAATTTGTTGTATTTTTCCACTCCATCTAAAGATATGTTACCTCTGCACCAGTGATTATATTAAATATGTGACTGTGAAAAAAATCAACAGATGGAGTCCATCTTTGCTTCATTCCATTTTACTCAAACTCTACTAAGAATTAACTATTTTGTAGCCAATGCTTTCTTGATTATAGATTCAAAATGATTAAAAGTGATAGTAATATGTTACATATATATCCATATACTTAACATAGGTTTCTTATAAAATAATATATGCTGACATGTATTAATTTTAATGTTAAGAGTAAATAATGTGTATAAGGTAAATATGTAAAATTATAAGGCTTAATTTTAAAATTGTTAGGATTTTATTTTATAACTTACATTAATTAATATTAATAATAATCAAAGGAAAATATAATTTAGATTTCATTTTATTATTAATGTCATGAGCAGGCAACTCCAGTCATGTGTTGTAATATATTTATGAAATATTTATATATGCATAAAAGTAAATTTGTAACAATGTAACTACTTATTCTGATTTCCTGCATTGAGGCTAATTATAGTGATGGGAGACATTTGTTTACACATAGGAAATAATTTACTACCTTATTTTAAATTAAAAACAGGACTAACACCCCCATCTCAAGAAATGTAAGTATTGAAATTATTTCTATACATCACTTTTTAAGATGGCAGGATAGACAAAATGTTGGAGCTTCACGCCCATGAAAATTGAGACTTTACATGAAGCTTGTTAAGAAATGCATCTTAACATATATTAAATTATTTTAATAATTCCTAAACCCACATGACTAACAGGAATATGAAACACTGTACATAATGGTTTATATACTAGAGATATGTTTTCTTCTACTATTTTAATAAAAGTTATTCATTTAGTACTTAATTGTTACTTTACACTTCTCAGGAAGGACATAAGTCTCCTGTCACTATACTTAATTAAACACAGTGTCCTAAGAGACTGCCTTCTAACTGCATTCCCGATGGTTGTTGCTTGCTTACTAAAGCAATATGTAAATCAATGGTTAAAGCTTTTATTACACAGTGATTCCATTCTGCCACTGTGACCAAAAGTACCTGACTGCTGACCAAACTCTCTGTATTCGTTTCACCTTTTCCCCAAATCTCTGTTAGGTTCTGAGCTCATGCCCAAAGCGCTCTCCACCAGGATAGTGGGAGGCATTTGGTGGTTTTTCACACTTATCATCATTTCTTCGTATACTGCTAACTTAGCCGCCTTTCTGACAGTGGAGCGGATGGAATCCCCTATTGACTCTGCGGATGATTTAGCTAAACAAACCAAGATAGAGTACGGCGCGGTGGAGGATGGTGCAACCATGACCTTTTTCAAGGTAAGTCCTGCTGGTTATCTAAAATTAATCTATTAAAATGATAGAGTGCAAATGAACAAATCTCTTACACACTTTAGTAAAGAGTGTAAGAGCAACACTTGTAATTTATTCAGAGCAAATAATAGCGTATTCCTTAGGGGTGGAGAGGTGTATACAACATTATACATGACCATCAAAGCAAAACAATTCAGTACTGCAAATGGCAAAGAGATTTTGTTTTACAAGTATTCTATTTTTGGTTGGAAGTCAATATGGCCAAAAGTAATGTTTTCTTTCAAAAGATTTTATCTCTTAATGTAAAACAAATAATATATATTTATTGAAGCATGATAACATATCATATGATTTCACTCTGATGAACAAACTGAACTAACAAGCAAAATAAAGAGATTCATAGGTAGAAAGAGTAGGATGAAAGTTATGGAGAGGTTAGTTGATAGAGGGGTAGAGCAAAAAGGAAAAAGGTCTCATGGATGTGGACAACGGTGTGGTGACTGCAGGAGGGAGCCGGTATAAGAGGGCTAAATGGTAATGGAAAAATTCTAAAATTAAAAAAAAAGGAAAACTGATAACCAGGCTTGGTTATTCCAGAGAATGGAGTGATTTCATGTAAAAATATTTCCATACTTACAATTCTTTGTGAAAATGAGACAAGGTGTGCTCATTCAGAAGCCTACAGAAAAAGAAAGAAAATAATGGCAGAAAGAGAAAAGCATAAACATTTCCTGTTTTCTACGTTCATCCATTTAATATTCTGGATGGCACAAACCCTAAACATGGGCTACCCCATTGAACTTGCAATGGTTTCCAGAGGGACAGCTATGTGGAGCATTGATTTTTTTTATATTTAGAGATTTTATTTATTTATTTTTAGAAAGAGGGAAAGTAAAGAAGAAAGAAAGGGAGAGCAACATCAATATGTGAGAGAAACATTGATCTGTTGCCTCTTACCTGTGCCCCATCCAGGCACAGCCCCTGTAACCCAGGCATGTGCCCCTATCCAGAATGGAACTAGCTACCGTTTTCTTTTGTTGGCCCCAATGGAGCCACAACAGTCAGGGCCAGGTGAAATATTAAATGGAAGGTCCATATCCAGGCATATTTAATGCCTTGCTTTCCTCTTTATTATTACTCTCCTTACATCAACTGATTTCACTGGACCAGAGGAGACCAAATGTAACTCTAGGGAGTAAGTATTGCTTCATAATTACTTTTATACTTTACCAAGTATTTTTAAATGCTTTGTAAGTTAGGCAACTTAAACATCAGTGTTTTCCTTCACTTTTCACACAAATGCAATTGGATGTTCAAATAAAATATGCAGTAGAAGTGGGTATTTTAAAAATAATTGACTCAAGCTGTAAAATAAGTGATTTCATCAAACATTAATCACGTGCCTACTGAGTACCAGAAGTTGCACTACATGTTGGTTATTCTACAGCAAATAAAATCTAGTTCTCACTTTTAAGGCAGTTATAGTTCAGATGGACACATGGCAGTCTAATTCAACAAACATAGATCTGGGTTTTATGTGATAGAAAATAGCAGTTTGCCTAATTATATAATTTTATTTGTCAAAGTTCTTACAAGACTAAATTAGCTACTTGTTAAAAGTATTAAAAGACATCAAATATCCAATGAATAAGATAAATTTGACTTAGTCAAATTTGTATAATTCTTAAAATTTAATTATTTTCAAAGCTCATATGGCTTGGCTAATGCTTGGTGTGTATTCTATATTTAATTAGAAAATAATTAGTATTTAATCAAATTTATTAAACAATATGGGTAAAGCATTATGATCAGTATGGTGCTATTTAATAACATTAATTATAATTTAATTGTCTCAATTTAATATTTAGAACTAATAGAGATTGCTTTTCTCATAGTTTTTAAAAAGAAATAAACTGTTGAAAATACTAAATATGCATTGTGAGTAAATAACATTGTAAAGAGTAAATATGCATTTAAATTATTATTGTATAAAAGGGTCTTTGGAAATTGTTTGTAAAATGATGTGTGATATCATACTAAAGTGATTACTTACACTTCACAAATATTTCAGAATTTTATTTTTGTTTTACAGATATTTCCTTAAATATCTTAAGTATTAAAGCTTTTATATACTGCAAAATTTTTCTAGAAATTAAAAAAATCTTTTTTCTCATCTTTAAAGCTTTTTTTTTTTTTTTGGTCTTCTGAATCTTTCTAGTATTGTGTTTTGTTTTGTTTTGTTTTGCTTTGTTTTTGTCTTTGTTCCATTGCTCTCAGCAGTGTCATTTTTGCATGACTTCACTTTTCCTTGCCACCTATTTTTCTTCTTACTCTTTCACCTCTTGTTGTTCTTTCTCACATACAATGGTGCTCCCAGCACCCAGAGAAAATGGACACGGAACAACTTTGTGTTTGCATCAGTGAAAGACTTTCTCTCTTTAGAATCAAAGCTTTCTAGATTGTACATGAGTCATAATAGAAACAGTGTGGTGATAATTGCTAAATTCACAGTTATTTTATGTTGATAATTTTATCACATGCTGAATTCTTACTGTTGAAATTACTATTTAAAAGGATACATTAAATGCTGGTTTTTGTTTAGTTATTTTAATGTAGCCCTAAATAATACTAATTTCAACCTTATATTTTGACTTGTTCAAATACATACTTATACTATAACTAATAGGTATGAAATTTTAAAGAAGCCCTAGAAGTTTGGAATTGAAGGAATTGCTTGCTCATTTTGAAACTCTACACTTGACCTAGAGACTATGGTGTATAGTCTGTTTACATTTGATATCATTCTTTTGTGTCTTGATTAACAGCGATGCTTACAGACACTCTAGGAAACACCCTCAAGGCATATTCATTTCCAAGGAATTTCCCTTCTATTTTTTGTAATTTAATGAGTCCTGGTATTAGCTAATTGTTCTGGAATGCTTACTTCTAGAAAATTACTTTAAATATGTATACTTTTGTTATATAACCCTTGTCATTGAAGGGTTAATTCCTTCATACTGCATAAACAGAGGCAGTGTTAAATAACCATTCCACAATATTAAGTAATTCCTTTCCCAAAGAACACTGTAGAGTGTATTCATTGAGATTACATGTATATTCTCTTTAAGAAAAGTTTTTCTTCTTTCCTCCTACATTCACACACATTCTTCTCAGGGGTATATGTAAAGCCATGACTGGCAAAGTAGCTCAAAATTTAGCAGATGATGTTTCTTCAGTGTTATTTCATTTAAACAATGGAAAACTGTATGGCATCACCAATTTGTTCTTAATTGTATTTAGACAATAAATTAGCTGAGGGCCCAATGATTCTATTGAAAAACACATTTGAAACCTATATAATCTTAGTGACCAGTGCCACCCAATAAATTTAATAATATAAATAAAAATAAATAAATAAATTTAAAACTACAATAAAGAGAATAAAAAGACAAGCCTTATAATTGAGAGATGATGTTTGTCAAACATGACCTTCAAATGACAAGTATTCATAATAAAATATATAATGAAATCTTTTAAATAAAATAAAAATATAGACAACTGTGTTGCAACCATTCAAGGCTGGACAGGGTCATGGCATTTGGGCAGAGGGAAGAATATTCATGGACACATGGGGATGCTTGACATGCCTTTATTCAAGGGTGGCCAATCCACACACACTGCAAGCAGAGTGTCCCCGTGAATGTCTCTGTGTGGCACACTGCATGCCATCTGTCCCCTTGCATGGCATATGTCATGACACCCAGCATGGAGTCCCTACGTGCTTAAGTACTAGAGGCAACCAAAGCCAGCTTCAAGCCAAAAAATGATATAACATAGCATAATTCTGCGCATGCAGATCCACTTCATGTTATGGGAACAGTTTATGAGACCCAGTCTCAAGGTTATGAGAACAATGCTTATCAGGCTCATTCAGGCTTATGGGAAACTGCTTCCCTTAGTTACCCAAACACCCTGGGTAAGGAAGCCAGACTGCCTCCATTTACTCTACAACAACACAATAGAAATTTGACAAAAGATTTCACTATGATCCTGGCTGGTGTGACTCATTCGGTTGGAGCTTTATCTCATGGATGGAAGGGTTGTAGGTTTATTCTCAGTCAGGGCACATGCCTAGGTTTTGGGTTTGATCCCAGGTCCATGAGGGAGGCAACCAGTTGATGTTTCTTTCTCACATTGATGTTCCCCCCTCTCCCTCTCACTTGCTCCCTCTCTACCTTCCTCTCTTTCTAAAAGCAGTGAAAACAATGTCCTTGAGAGAAGATCAAAATAAATAAATAAGTAAAAATTAAAAAAATGATTTCATTATGCATTTTATAGAATGAGGGAATGCAGATAAACTATAAACTTATGAAAATATGCTTAACCTCATAAGTAAGGAGGAAATTGAAAATTAAAATTGAAATGAGATTATCATCACTCAGCAAACAGATCAGCCCAAGTGAAATGGTCTTACTATACAACATGTTAGCAAGGGTGAGAAATAGTTGAAACTTTGACACAGTACTAATGAGAGTGTAAGTTGGTGCCACCAATTGATCTTTTTTCAGAATCCCTATATTTTCAAAATGAGTCACATGTTCCACAAAATGAATCTGAGTCCCTTGTTTCTATATGCCCATGACTCAGGATTTCCAATTTCTAAATTGGAAAAAGGTCTGGCTTTTTATCTATGAATAAATATAGTCTTCCAAAAAATATTGTAATAGAGAAGACACATGGTCTTTTTTGTGGTGGTTAAAAAAAATTCTACTACCTATTACTAGGATATTTAACTGATATCCAATATCGCTCAATACTTCTGAAAATACAATCTACAGTTTAGAATAGTTGTTAGGAATTAAAAAACAAGGCTATGAAATCAGAGAAACCTGAACTTACTTACAGGCTCCACCACTTATTAGCTGTATTTAGATAAAACACTTTTGTAAACCTCTGACTCCTCATTCCTAAATAGTAATGACTATCAGGACCATTCTCCCAATATT